TTCCCAAACACACAGATACTCGAGACCAGGGTGTCCACCTTGGTAGAGAGTCCTTTGTGTGCAGTGAATGTGGGAAAACATTCAGGTACAAATCCTTATTTGCCATACACCAGAGATACCATACTGGAGCACGACATCATGAGTTTGGTCCATGTGGGAAATCCCTTGGGCAACGACCAACCCTGAATGAACATGTGAAGACTCAGGGTGGATGCAGGCAGTACACTTGCAGCAAATGTGGGAAATCCTTAGGTGGCAAATATGACCCCCTTCATGTCCAGAAATTGCCCAGTGGAGGGAAAAATTATGTTTGTAGCGGGTGTACTAAATCTGTCAGCAGTAGCTCAGTGTTGAATACTCATAGGGTTCAGTCTGGAGATAGGTTTTATAAGTGTCGCGTTTGTGCAAAATCTTTTCCGTCTGTGTCTGCCCTCTGTTATCATCAGAGAACTCATGCAGTGAAAAGACAGTATGAGTGCAGTGATTGTGGGAAATCTGTTACCAGTAGGTCTGCCCTCCGTTCTCACCAGAGGGTTCACACTGAAAGAAAGCCTTATAAATCCAATGAATGTGGGAAATCTTGTGCTGGTAGTTCTGCCGTACATTATCACCAGAAAAATCACAGTGGAGTTAGGCCTTATGAGTGCAGTGAATGTGGGAAATTTTTTGCTGGTAGTCTTGTCTTACGTTACCACCAGAGAGTTCACACTGGGGAAAGGCCTTATGAGTGCAGTGAATGTGGCAAATCATTTATGCGAAAAACTAGCCTCAATGTACACATAAAGGTTCACTCAGGTGCAAGGCCTTATGAGTGTAATGAATGTGGGAAGTCTTTTACTGCTAGGTATTCCCTCCATTTTCACCAGCGTGTTCACACCGGGAAAAAGCCTTATCGTTGCCTTGAATGTGGGAGATCTTGTACTAGTAGTTCAGCCCTCCGTAGTCACCAGAGAGTTCATACAGGAGAAAGGCCTTATGAGTGCCGTGAATGTGGGAAGTCTTTTACTGGTAATTCGGCCTTCCGTTATCACCAGAGACTGCACAGCGGAGAACGGCCTTATCAGTGCTGTGAATGTGGGAAATCTTACACTACTAGTGCTGCCCTCCGTTATCACCAGAGTGTTCACACTGGAGAAAAGCCTTATGAGTGCCATGAATGTGGGAAATCTTTCACCAGTAGTTCCTCCCTTCGTTATCACCAGAGATTTCATACTGGAAAAAAGCCTTATAATTGCAGTGAATGTGGGAAATCTTTTGTCACTAGTAAACAGCACCGTACTCACCAGATAGTTCATAGTAGAGAGAGACCTTATGAATGCCCTGAATGTAGCAAATCCTTTCCCCGAAAAGATACCCTCAATGTACACAAAAAGCTTCACTCAGGTGAACGGCCTTATGAGTGTACTGAATGTGGGAAATCATTTACTGCTAGTTCTGCCCTCCGTTACCACCAGAGGCTTCACACTGGGGAAAGGCCTTATGAGTGTAATGAATGTGGGAAATTATTTACCGTTAGTTCTGCCCTCCGTTCGCACCAGAGACTTCACACAGGGGAAAGACCCTATCAGTGCAATGAATGTGGGAAATCCTGTACTACTAGTTCTGCCCTCCGTCGACACAAGAGAGTTCACACTGGAGAACGGCCTTACAAGTGCCATGAATGTGGGAAATCATTTACTGCCAGTTCTACCCTCCGTTATCACAAGAGAGTTCATACGGGAGAACGGCCATATGAGTGTAATGAATGTGGGAAATCATTTACTGTTAGTTATGCTCTCCGTTCACACCAGAGTGTTCACACTGGAGAAAAGCCTTACCAGTGCAATGAATGTGGGAAATCTTTTATTAGTCTTAGTGGTTTTAGATACCATTACAGACTTCACACTGCAGGAAGGATCTAAAACAGCACAGAAGGTGAAACAACTTGCTTAGTGGCATTTAGGCTGGAGGACAGCCTCTGAGGTGGCCACCTACCTGAATTGAACATGGTTCCCCGAATGTCCCCAGTGGAGTGACTTCCCATACAATCCAGTCATTTTCAGAAAAATTCGGAACCTGCATAGTGCTTTCTGATGTGGGTGCAGTCACCGCAAGATGGAAGTCACTGGCAGTGTCTGTGGCAGTGTTTGGCACCTGGCAGTCCACGGTATGCATATGTCACCACCCCAACATGGTAAATAACGCTGAGCTGTCCGCATTATCGACTGCTCATCCAAATTCTGGGTACCTGGAACCCCTCGTTCCATTCCCAGTTAGGGAATGGGTGTGACCAGTGTTGATCCACAGTGGGCGATGTGAGTTCTGGGTGGTGACTTGCACAGGAAGGCTAAGTCCCACGGGGGTGTTGCTGGTCTCCTGATGCTTTGATGACTATTTGCAGCTTCCAGGTCACCACACAGGAATTGTGTGCCCCATGTTGCTCTGATTAATGTATCAGTAAGTGCCATGTTTGTTTAATTACCTATGATCTTAGACATTGTGTGCCCTCGAAGGGGCGGTTTGAAAGCAGCATCGGGCTCTCCCACATGAAGGAATGAGCAGATCGCATTCCATTCCATACTTGCTGTGTCTCTGAGAGGAACATTGCAAATGTATCAGTAATATTGCCGTGTATATACATATGTACATACTCTAGCCTGTGTGTTAATTTGCTTTATAACCCAAGACCTTTGTGATGGGCTGACTTNTTCAGGTACAAATCCTTATATGCCATACACCAGAGATACCATACTGGAGCACGACATCATGAGTTTGGTCCATGTGGAAAATCCCTTGGGCAACGACCAACCCTGAACGAACATGGGAAGACTCAGGGTGGGTCCAGGCAGTACATGTGCAGCAAATGTGGGAAATCCTTAGGTGGCAAATGTGTCCCCCTTAATGTCCAGAAATTGCCCAGTGGAGGGAAAAATTATGTTTGTAGCGGGTGTGTGAAATCTGTGAGCGGTAGCTCAGTGTCGATTACTCATAGGGTTCAGTCTGGAGATAGGTTTTATAAGTGTCATGTCTGTACAAAATCTTTTCCGTCTATGTCTGCCCTCTGTTATCATCAGCGATCTCACACAGGGAAAAGACAGTATGAGTGCAGTGATTGTGGGAAATCTGTTACCAGTACTTCATCTCTCCGTTCTCACCAGAGAATTCACACTGGAGAAAGGCCTTATAAATGCAATGAATGTGGGAAATGTTTTGTTCATATTACTTCCCTCCGTTATCACCACAGAGTTCACAGTGGAGAAAGGCCTTACGAGTGTAGCAAATGTGGCAAATCTTTTATGAGTCGTAGTGGCCTCCATCATCACCATAGTGTTCACACTGGAGAAAAGCCCTATATGTGCCATCAATGTGGCAAATCTTTTACAAGTAATTCTCAACTCTCTTGTCATCAGTGGGTTCACACTGGAGAAAAGCCTTATATGTGCCATCAATGTGGCAAATCTTTTACAAGTAATTCTCAAGTCTCTTCTCACCAGTGGGTTCACACTGGAGAAAAGCCTTATAAGTGCAGTGAGTGTGGGAAATCCTTTGCTAGGAATTCTGCCCTCTGTCGTCATCAGAGAGTTCACACTGGAGAAAGGCCTTATGAGTGCATTGAATGTGGGCAATACTTTCGTCGAAAAAGTTCTGTCCATTATCACATCAAGCTTAATCCAGGTGAAAAAACTTATAAGTGTTATTTATGTGGGAAATCTTTTACTGCTAAATGTTCCTTCCATTTTCACCAGCAAACTCATGCTGGACAGAAACCTTATCAGTGTATTGAATGTGGGAAATGTTGTACTACTCTTTTTGGCTTTCGTAATCACTGCAGACGTCACACTGGAGAAAGGCCTTATGAATGCCGTGAATGTGGGAAATCATTTATCTCTAATTCTGCTCTCCATTATCACCAGAAAATTCACACTGGGGAAAGGCGTTATGAGTGTAGCGAATGTGGCAAATGTTTTATGAGTTTTAGTGCTCTCCGTCGTCACCAGAGAACTCACTCTGGAGAAAAGCCTTACGAGTGCCATGAATGTGGGAAATCCTTTACTGCAAATTCTACACTCCGAACTCACCAGATACTTCACACTGGACAGAAACCTTATAAGTGCAGTGAATGTGAGAAATCTTTCATCACTAGTAAACAGCTCCAGGATCACCAGATAGTTCACAGTGGAGAGAAACCTTATAAATGCCCTGACTGTAGCAAATCGTTTGTCAAAAAAAGTACCCTCAGTAAACACAAAATGCGTCACACAGGTGAACGGCCTTATGAGTGTAATGAATGTGGGAAATCCTTTTTTACTAGATCTGCCCTCCATTCCCACCTAACACTTCACACTGGAGAAAAGCCTTATGAGTGCAATGAATGTGGGAAATCTTTCCGTACTGTATTTTCCCTCCGTTCTCACAACAGAGTTCACACTGGAGAAAGGCCTTATATGTGTAATGAATGTGGGAAATCATTTGCTGATAATTCTGCCCTCCACCGTCACCAGAGACTTCACACTGGAGAAAGGCCTTATGAGTGCAATGAATGTGGGAAATCCTTTATTACAAGTACTGCCCTCCGTTGTCACAAGCTAGTTCACTCAAGAGAAAGGCCTTAGAGAGCCATGAATGTGGGAAATCTCTTTGAGTCATAATGCTTTGAGACATTACAGCCTTCGCGCTGCAGGAAGGATCTAAAACAGTACAGAAGGTGATACTACTTCTGTAGTGGCGTTTAGGGTGGAGGACAACCTCTGAGGTAGCCAGCTACCTGAATTGACCATGGTTCCCCCGAATGTCCACAGTGCAGTGACTTCCCATGAGAACCAGCCATTTTCAGAAAAATTCAGAACCTGCATAGTGCTTTCTGATGTCTGTGAAGTTACTGCAGGATGTAAGTAAGTGGCAGTCTGCGGCGGTGTCTGGTGCCTGCCAGTTCCCAGTACTGTGCATACGTCACCACCCCAACATGGTTAATGATGCTGAGCTGTCCGCTTTTTTGCCTCCTCATCTAAATTCTGGGTACCTGGAACCCCTCGTTCGTTCCCAGTTAGGGAATGGGTGTGACCAGTGTTGATCCACAGTGGGCGATGTGAGTTCTGGGTGGTGACTCACACAGGAAGGCTAAATCCCACAGGGGTGTTGCTGGTCTCCTGATGCTTTGATGACTATTTGCAGCTTCCAGGTCACCACACAGGAATTGAATTGTGTGCTCCGTGTTGCTCTGATTAATGTATCAGTAAGTGCCATGTTTGTTTATTTACCTTTATTCTTAGACATTGTGTGCCCTCGAAGGGGTGGTTTGAAAGCAGCATCGGGCTCTCCCACATGAAGGAACAAGCAGATCGCATTCCATCCCATACTTGCTGTGTCTCTGAGAGGAACATTGCAAATGTATCAGTAATATTGCCGTGTATATACATATGTACATGCTCCATCCAGCCTTTGTGTTAATTTGCTTTATAACCCAAGACCTTTGTGATGGGCTGACTT